TAAAAAGAACAAAATATATATATATATAAAATTTATCTATGGCTGTGTAATTATATTACAGCAATAGCAGCTTAAAAAAAAACCCTCATATTTATTATCTCATGGTTTCTGTAGGTCATGAATCTGGACCCAAGTTAACTGAGTTCTCTGTTCCAGTGTCTCTCATAGGGTTACAATCCAGGTGGCACTCAGGAAGGGGTCTCATCTGAGGCTTGGCTGGGGAAGGATCCACTTTCAAGATCACATGAGCGTTGGCAGGATTCAGTCTCTTATGCACCATCAAATTGAGGGGCTCAGGTATTTGCTGGCTTTGGCCAGAAGTCACCCTTGGTTTTATGTGACTAAGGTCACTTTGTAGGTTAGCTTATTTCTTCAAAAGTAACAAGGGAGAGTTTTACTAGAGAGAGAAGGCTCACTAGACAAAGTCACATTCTTGTTACATAATCATGGAAATCATATCCCGTCACCTTTGGCATATTCTATTAGATGGAAACATGTTACTGGTTCTGGTCACACTCAAGTGGAAGGGCTTCCATGGGGGCATGACTATCAAGAAGTGGGAATATTTGGAGACCATCTCAGAGTCCACCACAGAATGGATACAAAAGTGATATATTCAACTCCTAGAACTTGTCCTTAAAAGGAAAGTGATTGCTGTTTTCCTTACCTGCTAAAACACAGACTTGATGGCTGGAGTCTGAGTAGCCATTTTTGTATCAGAAGGTGATTACCTCATGTTGAGGATGAATGAGCAGCAAAATAACAAAGTTTGGGAGTCTTGCAATATCTGAACTACACTGTTATTTTGAATTTTCTGCCACTCGAAACCAAATTTAATCCTAATGGATAGATTTTTTGTTGCTAGTTTTAGTCATTTTATATAAAATTATTATCTATTGTGATGTTATTATCATGCACTTTTACACAGTACTAGCTTGTGTTTTAAAGTTTCTGCATCTGATATGATATTATATTTATGACCTTTTTTTTACTCATTACCTTTTTCTAAGATTTATCCATTTGATATTTATCCATTTGATATAGTATGTGGTTTATTTTTGATAGATGTTTGAATGTGGGCAATATAGCAGAAACAGCACATCAAGGTGAGTGTAGTTCAGTGGGAACGCAGCAGACCAGAGCTCAAATTCCTTCTACAACTTGAGAGCTCTGAAAACTTGGATAAATTCCTCCTCTTCTCTGACACTAAGTATCCTCATACAAAAAAGGAATCATACTCATTTTGAAATCTTATTAGAGAATGTATTTTAAAGAACCGGATAACACATTAGACACTCATTATAAGGAAGATGTTATTACTTCTGCTCTTTATTTCATTATTTTCTTCCTTGGGACCATTTTTTTTCTTTCTCAAAAATCATAACTTTACAGTTTAATATGCCTTTTGCTTCTTAATTAAACATTTAAACTTCATGAATTCATTTCTAAATCTGGCTTGGCCTCATTTCATGCTTTGATATGTATTCATCATTTTCATTATTTCCTAAAGGATATATTATTTTATTATTTATCTTCTTCTCTTGGGTCCAATCATTATTAGAAGATTTTTTTCTTTTTAAATTGCTGATTATTGAGGCAACTTTTCTGGTCACAATTTAAATAAATGTTTAAATTTAATTGTGATTAGGAATGTAGTCTACTCAATTTTTGCTTGTGAATTTATTGAATTTTCTTCCTTTCTGATGATATAATGAATATTTGGTAAATATTCTATGGATCTCTCAGAAAGAGAAGATACATACTCTGTAGGAGTAGGTGGTGCAGGAGTAGATCTAGGTTAATACGGATGTTCAATGGTGCCAGAACATGGAGCAGGCCAACACCTACCTGGTCATATGCCCAAAGTGGCAGGAAGCATTGTGGGCAACAACTTGAAATCTGTCCTAACTGGAATTTAGACACACATAGGAGCATTTAGTGAGCTGGGATGCTAAGGAGTGCATTCAAATTGCTAGATGGAATTAAGCATTTAAAGAAGAAACAATTCCAAAAGAGAGACCTGCAGTTGGCATGTGGGCAAGACTCAGCATTGAACTGCTCTTCAGAACAAAGCTGTTCTTCCAGGTTCAAGTGTCTTGGGAATACTGAAATGCTCTTCCTGGGAACTTCCTCTGTCACTCCATGGTCTTGGTCTTGCAGGCAATAAAGTTGTCACCAGAGCCTGGGAAATACTGTTGTTCTATATTCCTTATCTCTTCCCCACAGAAAAAGCTGCTCAAGGATGGATCAGTATGACAGGAGACAGATATGTTAGATACAGAAGTGAGGGAAATTGTAGGAGAACACTGACATGGATTTCACGCAAGAACTCCTCTGTCAGAGGAGAGCGCTGAGCACTGGCCGTCAGTGGAGGAAGACACTGGTGGGGTGAAAGGGTGATAATGCTGAATGAGAGAGAACTTCCCTTACATGATAAATGAATGCAATGTCAAAACATAAGAACCTGTAGGAAATAGCACATTTAATAGTGAAATGTTAAAAGTATTTCATTTGAGAGCAGAGATGATGGGCATTGAACATGTACCCTGGAGCAGACACTGTGTTCAGGACTTTATGTGCCTTATCACAATATTATTATCTCATTTTATAGATGAGGAAACTGATGCTCAGAGAAGCGAAGCAGTTCCTCTTCGTGAGTCTAAGAATTGAGAAATGAACCCAAGTCTGTTTGATTCCAGTACTGCTGTACTAAAGACACAAGGACCAGCGATTAAAGGACCCCACCCAGGATCCCAGCCTTAAAAGGGTTTTAAATAGGAAAGGTAGCAGAATACAACAGTCATTAACATGGTATTATGTAAAAATGTGGATGTGTAACCGATGTGATTCTGCAACTTGTATTTGGGGTAAAAAATGGGAGTTCATAACCCACTTGAATCAAATGTATGGAAGATGATATGTCATGAGCTTTGTAATGTTTTGAACAACCAATAAAAAAAATTTAAAAAAAATACACACATAAACTCATGTTATCCATTTAATTCTATTGCTCAAATGTGTTATTAAATTTTGGGGGCATCTATTTGATCTGTCATTTATGTGGCTTATATAAACTGAAATATCTCTTTTCATGATTTTTGCTCCATGTCTTTGGTTACTGCTTTCATTGATACATGATAGTTTGCTATTGTTATATATTTAGTTTTAAAAACTATTTTTATAGAAGCATTATTTTACATACTTTTTAACCTCCCCATGCCAAAAAAATTTGCAGATCCCTGTAAAGTAGTGGTTTTAGTCACTTTTGCATTACTACAGTGAAATACCCAACACAGGCTACTTAACTGCAAAGGGAGGTCTATTTTGGCTTATGGTTCAGGAGGTTCATATCCAAGATTGGATAGTCCCATGGGTTTGGGCCTCGGATGATGCTGGCATTTTTCTCGATTCAGCTTTTGTCTGTGACTGTCTAACTTCTGCAATAGGAAGCTTCTTACTTATATATCTTAACAAATTTTGTATGTTTCATTATTATGGTACATATTATGTCATAGTTGCTTATTAATGAATTCTGTCCTGGTGATGATTCTGAACTTCTAGGCACTGCCACTGTTTCCTCTCTGTCTTCACAACCTCACTCAGAAGCTGACATACTTAGCAGCTACTCACAGATGTGCATTTAATGGACCTATGACAGTGTAGCACGGTATTATTATCTGGTTTTCCACCCAGAGCATAAACAGAGAGATTTTACACTATGACCGCCTGTGGGTGTCTATTTGCACGAATGAATGATACCAGCTGCCAGGTGCTGAGCAACTTTCTTCACTCTGAGGTTTCTTCCTTGGAGCTGGTGACCATGGACTGAATCCTCTGAAACCTCATGAGTCAAAATAAATCTTTTCTCCTCTGAGTTGTTCTTGTCAGGTGTTTTATCACAGTGGTAAAAACTGATGATCGCAAGGAGCTCTCAATGCAGGCAGTGCCAGCCTGGGACCCAGAGAGCAATTTGCAGTATGAGCCCCGGGGAGAAAGGGTCATCCATTTCTATGCTACCAATGGATGCTCTAGGAGTACAGAGATGACTTGAGAGAAATTTGTGCCATCTGGTACCTTGAGATAACAAAGAGCAGCTTTGCAAATCCCCAACAATAGTGAGTGTTCTTGGAAGAAGAAATCCATGGAGAAGAGCTGGGAATGTAGCTCAGTGGTAGAGTGCTTGCCTAGCGTGTTTGGGGGACCTGTGTTTGATTCCTAGCACTGAAGAAAGAAAAGAAAAAAAAAAAGAAACTCCTGCAACTCCAAAAGTCTGGTGGTGTCAAAGGCTATACTCTTGAAATTCACCCATTGGAAACTGTTTTAGTCAGCCTTTTCCCTCCTGTGACTGAAAGACCTGTCAAGAACAATTTTAGAGGAAGAAAAGTTTATTTGGAGACTCACAGTTTCAGAGATCTTAGTCCATAACAGCCTGCTCCATTCCTTGGGAGCTGGAGGTGAGGCAGAACATCATGGCGGAAGTGGATAGTGGAGACAAGCGGCTCAATCATCATATCAGGAAGTAGAGAGAGACTGGTGTACCCCAACGGCAGACCTATAGTGCCTCACCTCTTCCAGCCACATCCTATCTGCCTTGAGTTATCGCTCAGCAAACCCCTATCAGAGGATGATTCATGGATGGTGTTAAGACTCTCATAACCTAGTTGTTTCACCTCTAAGCCTTCTTGCATTGTCTCACACATAAGATTTCGGAGACTCCTCACATTCAAATCATAACAGAAACCGACATTTATGTGAGATTCTACACACAGGACAGACAGGAGGGGCTAGGTTACAGGAGCCGCTCAGCTAGCTCTGTTGGGTTTGATAATGTAACCTAGTGTGCACTATCTGATGGGTCTTAGGAAAGCTCAAATTGTAGATGAATGATAGCTTCATAGTTTTGATTAGAGGATACGCTGGTTTGAATATGTGTGTCCCCAAGTTTATGTGTTGGAAACTTGATCCCAAATGCAACAGTATTGAGAAATGGGACCTTTAAGACTATGAGGTCATAAAGACTCTGCCCCCATCAATGGATTTATGCCCTCATCGCCAGAGTGGAGTCGTAATGGAATGAGTGGGTTCCTGATAAAATGATGAGTTTGGCCTCCTTCTCTCCTTCTCAACCACGCAATGGCTTCTACCATGTTATCCTACAGCAAGAAGGACTTCACCGATGTGGGCTTTTCAGCCCTCAGAACTGTAAGCCAAATAAGTTCCTGTTAATTATAAATTACCCAGTTTGTGATATTCTGTTAGAGCAGCCCAAAATGGTCAGAAGATGTGTAAAACATTAAACATCAAATGCTCATTAAAATTATGGTTCGATTTGGTACTTTTATAGACATGTCAAACCATTGACTGGGTAGCTCAGCAGAGGCACAAATTACCCATTTCCTGAGTTTATCACCATGGAAGCAATCATTTGAGTGGTTATTGAACATGTAGTGTTCACCTTGACTGATCAAAGTCCAGGAGAGAAATGAGTTAGATAGATAGGAGGTAGAGGAGAGGCTGACTGTATGACTGCCAGAGACTTCAAACAGGGATTTACCTTGGTGATTTAACCACAGGCCAGGGTCTGGCCCTTTGTTTTTCGGGTTCAAAAATGGAGAAAATTGGTTTTGTCAGCACACCGAGGTAACATCTGTTTAGAGAGGGATGTGTAAATCAAAACGCCATTTTATTAATTCACAATGGCAAGTAAAATCAGCCAGGAGATCAGATACACATTCTGTTTCGAGCACATTCTCTCCCTGTGGCGAAATCTAGGAGGGAAGTCAAATTATCATCGGAAGACAGCCGGGTGAGCCTGGGATCGGAGCCGGAAAGGGAGAAGGCTGCCTGATTAGAATGCTAAATGAAGCCGAGGCTTCCTTTACCACCAGAGAGATACATCTGGAGGGATCAGACCAATCGAATTCTGAAGACAGGTCACTACTCTAGCTCTGACCTGGGCGTGCACAACTTCCTCCTCCTGGTGGACCCTGCTTTGTCCTCTGCTGACCACACCTCTTGTGCTGGACATGTTCTTTCTTCACCTGGGTCGATCCCATTGATTAGTTACAGCCCAGCCCTCCCTCCTTCTTCTCTGGCCTTGCCTTTACCCTGACTCCAAGTGAAACTGGGAAATGATTGGACGATTGTCCCTGAGGGACCCTTACCTGGTTTGAAGGTCAGCAGTGATTGTCATGTCCCGCTGAGTTTAGGAAACCTCATGTGATCAGCTGTGACCAGGGTGTAAACCAAACAATCCCCCCGCCCCCAACATTGGCTTTGCTCACCAGGCCGGGTCCTGTAGGGCTGAAGAGGCTAATGAATTGGTAATGAAGGTGATCGATAGCTTTATCTCGGAACAGGGGCAGCCTCTTCTCTGTAAACTATTTGCTACCTTAGTTGAACCCAGAAGAAGCTGCTGTTGGGGCTTAGCTGATGAAAGCTTTGCTGAAATCCTCGTTACAGGCTCATTTTCTGCCTTAGGACTCAGACCTGATATATGAAAAGGCCAAGATGTTACCTGACGTCTTTGTGGAAAGGAAGAAATATCCTCAAACAGCTCTGGTTTGGCTTGTGGAGAAAGAAACATTCATTGAATTTGTGGCATTGGGTTCTGCCCCTTTTACCCCCTGTGTCCTGCCTACCCTAGTTCATTCCTTCCATACCTACAGGATGACCACGTTAGCCTTCTTCACGCTTCTTACATTATATGAAAAAAATAACAATGCTGAGAGCTTATCATAGCTTGTCTTTTTTTTATTGGTTGTTCAAAACATTACAAAGCTCATGACATATCATCTTTCATATATTTGATTCAAGTGGGTTATGAACTCCCATTTTTACCCCAAATACACATTCACATTTTTACATAATGGCCTATTAGTGACTGTTGTATTCTGCTGCCTTTCCTATCCCCTACTATCCCCCCTCCCCTCCCCTCCCATCTTCCCTCTCTACCTCCTCTGCTGTTGTTCAATTCTCTCCCTTGTTTCCCCCACACACACTTTCCTCGCACAACCTCTTATATGTAATTTTGTGTAACATTGAGGGTCTCCTACCATTTCCATACGATTTCCCTTCTCTCTCCCTTTCTCTCCCCCCACTCGTCTCTGTTTAATGTTAATCTTTTCCTCATGCTCTTCCTCCCTGTTCTGTTCTTAGTTGCTCTCTTTATATCAAAGAAGACATTTGCATTTGTTTTTTTAAGGATTGGCTAGCTTCGCTTAGCATAATCTGCTCTAATGCCATCCATTTCCTTGCAAATTCCATGATTTTGTCATTTTTTAGTGCTGCTTAATACTCCATTGTGTATAAATGTCACATTTTTTTATCCATTCATCGATTGAAGGGCATTATCATAGCTTTTCTGAGAATTATGTTATATTCTAAGCACTTCGAATACTAATTTCTTTAACCTCAACAATCTTGTGACTTTCGGCATTATTATTGCATTCATTTTACAGATGAGGAGAAGAGACAGAGAGAGTTTAAATAACTTGTCTAAAGTTACTAGTTCATGTTAAATTAATAAATTTGCCCTAAGACTATTTCTGTAGTTGGTTGCTGAAATTTAGCCCAAAGCTATCTCTGTATACACTGAAATGCAACCTAATTTAGTTATGTACCAAACTGCAAACTAACTTAAGAGTATTGTATATTCTCATTCACAACAGTCAGCCAGTCACAGGTTATCAACTGATCACACCATGTCCATATAAGGCAGGTGCCTCATTACCTTGTGCCCATATAAGACAAGGGTTGACTGCAGGCAATAAGGTTGATTCTATATGACATTTTCTTTTTTGTAGCTATAAATATAACTTGCACATGTGATGGGGACCAACATTCAAAACCAACTTTGGTC